TCAGCGGTCTAGCGCTGCACGGCAAAAACGCATAGTAAAAACTGGTAATCATGCATGCTTTTGGTCCATGTAGCGACACCTTCATCCCAGTCTACGCCCTTTGCTCCCGCATGCAGGAAAAGGTCAAAACACAGCCAATACGCGTCCAAATCTTAAGCTACATAACAGGAACCATTCCTGCCATTAGCGACTTGCAATTTTAGTGCAAAAACGCATGTCGCACCAGCAAGCCTGGTGCGTTGCAGACTGGGTTCTCCGTATGTTTAGATTTTTAGGGATCAAGGAAAGGTTAAGGTCGTTTAAGAATTTTTGTGCGTTTAGTGCTGCAACAATTGAAACCGTGCGTGTGTGTGCGTTTGTGTGTGTGTTCAGAGTGCATTTTATCCGGGGTTTCAACTAGGAAGCCAAAGGAGCTCGGAAGCTGAAATTTTAAGACGAGCCCCCTACCCGCGTGTGATCTTTCAAGCTCAGACTGAGGACTCACACGCTCCTAAAGCTTCACGGGTGAAATTTTTAGTGTCCAAATCAATAAGCACAGCAGGTAGGGAGCTGAAATTTTAGGAAGATGTCCACTGCCAGCGTATGACCCTCAATCACAAATTCGGTTTCCCCGCGTACCTAGATGTTGCTCTGAGCCACTTGAAATTTTTGATACCAAAATCAATGACGCAGGATCCATGAAAGCTATGAAGCTGAAATTTCAGAATGTATCACTAGCCGTTGAATGTATCACTTCTCAGCCAGTTAAATTTCTTGAAATTTTATGAACAAATTGTTGGGTCAAGAAAATTCGAGCAGTGCATGAAGAATCATCAAAATTATCAACTAGAAATTTTTATTTTACACAAAAATTTCCTGCTGAAAGAGACGTACCTACTGTTCTGAGAACTTTTTGCCACATGTAGCAGTTGTTTGAATAGAAATAATTGCTTGTGAAGTGTATTGAACTCAACAACTCCATTTTTATCAACTTGAATAAAGCGTCCGTGATTAAAGCCCATCACAGATGAAGCGCTTATAATTGACAAGATTGTGACCACAGATTCAGAGCTAAAGAATTTCTGGAGTTGTCAAATAATACAAGGCAGCATCTGAGAATCGTGCGTGAACGCAAAATCTGGGGAAACAGAGAGAATGAAGTTCTGCACTAGTTCTCTCAAAATTCACCGAGTATAAAAAATGAATAAAAATTAAATGAGCAACTGTAGTTTTATTAAAAGCATAAGTAATACATTTTGTTTGGCATTGATAAAAGAAAAAGGCTTAAAAATGCAAGAAGTCTGGGACAG